TCGCGTCTGCGAGCACACGGCCCTCCCGCCGTGTTATTTGGTTGTCGTCCTCCCGCGCCCCTCCCGTCGCAGCTATGAGCACACGGCCCTCCCGCCGTGTTATTTTGTTGTTGCCCTCCCGCGCCCCTCCCGTCGCGGCTGCGAGCACACGGCCCTCCCGCCGTGTTATTTTGTTGGTGCCCTCCCGCGCCCCTCCCGTCGCAGCTATGAGCACACGGCCCTCCCGCCGTGTTATTTGGTTGTTGCCCTCCCGCGCCCCTGCCGTCGGGGCTATGGGCACACGGCCTTGCGGCCGGTTTTCTGTGAGTCCACCCTCCCACGCTGCTGCAATGGTACCATCTTCAGCATCTCCTGCTGCTGCTGTTGTGTGTGGATGGAGCGCGCGCAGTGACTCGCGTGGCTATGATGTATTTCCTCCGCCTCTTCTTACAAGGCCTCACGTGCTGCATCCAGCTCCTCGTCATCGCTCGCCACCACAATCGCCAGGACAGCCTACAGGGTCTGCACGATACTGACCGATGCCCCCGCTTGTTGCACCGATATTATCTACTGCCTCACCCCACCGTGTCTTTCTTCCCATGGTCCCACGATTAGCTTCACCTGGTTGCTTTGATGGCGCATCGACGGCGTCGTGGGGATGCATGCTGCCCCAGCTCTCTAGACGAAAGCACTTTCCCGCGGTCAACAGGCACACTTGGTGCGCCGTCTGCGGCGCCCCTTCCAGCGCCGCACAGCTCTTCTCGACGTGATGGGTACGTTGCTCTGACTCTTCGGCAAGTGCCTCGAGCGGCGGCTGCATCTCTACCAGCGTTGCCTATGTTGTAGAGGTATTCGGTGTTCTGGAATCTACCAAACCCACCGTTAGTAGGGACCTGAAATGCCCACACCGGTTCGCCTTCCGCAACCGGCCGACTGCTGATGATCTCTTCTGCAGCCGTGTAGCCTATGCAAGCGCCCACCGCAGCAGGCTGCTCTTGGGATGATGACCCCCTGACGTCCCCGATGCCCGGTCCTATGCCCAGGTCCGCTCCAGCAGGGATCCGTGGCACTACCGGGCTGGTTCCCGGTCTGGTGCTTGTTCCCCCGTGGTGTGCGGGCGGCGTGATTCCGTCGTTGTGCGGCCCCTCTTCCAGCAGACCGCGGGCAGACGTAGCGCCCGTAACGACAGCGCCCACCGTGGCGCCGCCGGACCCCCACTCCTTCTCTAACTTTCCGAGGGCGGCTCGGAGTAGCCCTGACAGCTGCTGTACCTCGTCCGTCAGGCCTGAAACTTTGCTCTCCAGGTTGTCAACCCTGCCCTGCGTACTAGTGGTGACGTCGGCAGCCTCTGCTGCAACATCGGCGTCACTCATCTCCAGCACGGGTTCCCTCGAGGGATACACTCTAGAGTGTTAGTATACCCTTGTAAGTGTGTTGAAGATGATGGTATCACTTGTATTTAGGACAGCAGACACGATCAGGACGCGGCGGGAGAGAGAGAGTGCCACGACACAGCAGGCACTCCCGCAGGGTCGATCAACCATGAAACCAACCCAGGGGACTATCAATTCCTATCTGCGTAGCCAATTCCTACAGTCCCGTTGGTTTTTCTCATCCGCTCATGCACACACGAACAGGACCCATGCGTGTACATTCAATAGTTATTTTTTGCAACCCATGTGCGCTTCTACATTGAAGTCTCTACGAATCACACGGCAGCATCAGGTCTGTCTGTGGTTAATAACCCGCATGCGGGAAGCGGGAATCCGAGTTTGAAATATGTCTACTTTTGAATTTGGGGGCAACGCATTTTGAAACACGCAGTCCCAGGCAAGCTTCATTCTGCGGAGCGCCGCCATCTCGCCCAATGCCGCACTTGACTTGTTCAGACTCGCTCTTTCTCCACACCGTGCCACACTGCCTGTGCTGTCCATCTGTCTCCCTGCTCCGTGCCAGCCTACTGCTATGGCCTACAGCCTAACAGCAGCAACACAACACCACGCAGAAGATATTCAAGGTTGGGTTGGGTTGGGTTGGGTTGGGTTGGGTTGAGGTTGGGTTGGGTTGGGGTTGGGTTGTTGGTTGGTTGGGTTGGGGTTGGGTCGCCGCCGTCGATCGCGCCGCCTTCGCGTCGTCGTTCGTCGCCGTTGGGTTGGGTAGGGTTGGGTAGGTTTGGGTAGGGTAGGGTAAGGTTGGGTCGGTCGGTCGGCCGGTCGATCGGGCGGCCTTGGGCCGCCTTCTTCGATCGCACCGCCGTCGCTCCGTCGATCGTCGCCGTCGATCGCCCTTGTTCAATAGTAAAGAACTCGACGTGCATTGTTAGCACCGAGGAACGATCCAGTTGGCGCAGATGATGCACAATGTGAAGACCGATCACGTGTTGACGGCTTCGAGATGGAGATCTTCAAACTCGTCCAGGAGGGAGCGACGTCGGAGCAATGGAAGGAGTGGCTTCGAGTACCTCTGGAGCATGCCGTGGGCAAAGGAAACCTTGATCTATTCACACGGTTGATGGACGCTGGTGCTGATGGTAGCGCAGGCTGGCGGGGATGCCGTGGACGCACGCTGCTGGGTGCGGCTGCATGCGGCAATGAAAGCGACAAAAACAGGTCCGGGCTTTGCTAACCGGGGGCGAAGGGTGATGTAAACGTCCTGTTCGGGGGTAAACACGAACCCGCTATCCACGTTGCGGCAGCGCGGGGAGCAGAGGAGGCCTCGAAGGCGCTCATGATGGCCGCAGCAGACCCAAATCTGCGTGATGGGAAGGCTTATGGCCCGCTCCACCTCGCCGCCGAAGCAGGGCACCACCGACTCACAGGTGTCCTTCTTCGGAACGGGGCCCGAGTAGATGCGACGAATGATTTCCAGGAGACTCCTCTCTACCTTGCTGCCTCAAGGGTCATGCGCTGTGCATCTCTGAGCTCTTGCTGGGGGGCGCAGACAAGAACCAATGGTCAATGCTAGAGGTGAAACGCCACTGTTCGAGGCAGCAACAAACAACCACCTCGGGGCTATTGAGCAGCTTCTAGCTGCCGGTGCCGACCACAACATTCGTACCATCACCCACTTTTCCCCACTCGAGATTCTTGCAACCAGAGGAGACGCGACCATCTTGAAGGCCTTCCTTGACATGGACAGTAGTCATGTCAATCCACCGATTGTCTAGGACACAGGGTCCTTCACCATGCTGTTTGTGTTGACGGACCTGTCCGTGACAACAGCGATGCTGTCCGTGCACTCTTGGACGCTGGGGCCGACGTCAACGCCAAAGCCGGGGACAACGGCGACCGCACGCCTCTCCATGTTGCCGTCGATCGTCGGATGTCATCGATCTGCACGATCCGCGCGCTGTTGAAGGGAGGGGCGGATGTCAATGTGCGTAACGACTACGACCATACGCCGCTGCATGTAGCTTGCATGTGTTTTATTTAATGTTTCTACTGTGGAGCTTCTGCTGCGTTGGGGAGCAGATGAGATGCTGAAGGACGACGATGGAAGCACGCCTGCAGACGTAACAGGAGAGATGGGAGATGGTGACCTCACCGACGAAGAAATCAAGACCGACCGCCAGCGCATTCGCCGCGTGCTGGCGCGCGCTCCAGCCAACAGGTCATGGCGTCGCCGCGGCTGGCTGGTGCTGAGCCGTTGCTGCCCGACCAGGGTGCACATTGCAAACAGAGGCAGCAGCAGCGGCAGCAGCGGCAACAGCAACGATTGCTGCCTCGAGATGGCGAGGGTCAGCGGCAAGGAATCGCGCGAGGATGATGCGGAGACGGAAGACAAAATCATGTCCGACTGGAAGGATTTGGTGCGCAGGCTGGTCGGCCTGGAGGTTGATGGCTTGTTCCGCTTGGTGGTGGACTTTCGGTGAGGTATGCATACGAGGAGGAGAGAGTTTGGCAGTGGGATAGACTATGATTTCGCAGCCGTCAAAGAGGACGTGTTCTAGTGAGTAGTGTCGTGAACAAGCATGGGACTTGCGGAAGGAGTTTTTTTGGATTTGTTCGCATCGCCACTGCCTTGCCTTAGCATACAGGGGGTTGACGCAGTTTGCCCGATTTTGTGTTGGTTTGCTTCACGTATAGAGCAATCGTGTGTAACTTTTCGCGCAGCGGATGGGTTCATAACTTCGAATTCCATGTACTGGGGAACAATCGTACTTGGGGGTGCGCAACGAACGGGGGTTTTGATCAGTGGCCGAACAAGATGTCTCTTGAACTGTCACGGCCGATTATATGGCGGTTGGCTCGAGATCGCTTTCATGTTTCGGCAACGAAAGCCAACTCCTGCCGTGTCATCCTCGTGGTTTCGGTTGTGTGCAGTGATGTGCTCTTGGCGGATGTCGAGCAGCCTGCAAGGGAACACTAATGTGATCGTCTTTATAGCTGGGCATGCCGTACAGGGTCTAGCGGATGCGTCAAGTCGACCCCCCGTAAAGTCTAGACTATGGTTTTTCTTGGTATCTATGTTGATTGTTCCGCATTGCAACACTCGCACTCCCTACCCTTGACACCATCCACCATCCACGGCCTGGGCTGCTGCAAGGGCATGTAGGTTCTCTGTCCTACGTCCTCTTGCGTGCTTCGGAAGACGGAATGATCCCACGCAATGCCATTGACGGGTGTGTTCTGACGAAGCGCCATCTTCTTGGCTTTCTCGTCTATGACTTCTGTTGTTGTTCAGGTTTTAGGCACAAGAGGAGGTCGAGGCGGCGTTCTTTTCTCGAGCCTACCGTAGCCGTTTGACTCTTTGCACCAGGTGGTGGCCACTGAACTATGTCGATGGTGACGATGCCGGCTAGAAAGTTGGCATAGGAGGTGTGCCAGGACTGAATCCTGGTAGAGAGCTGAATCTTGGTCGTCGCCTAAGGATGGAGTCATGTGCGAGAGGGCTTCCTCTCTGTCCTACCCCGGCTTGTTTTTGCTTGAACGCGCCCCCAGGCCCCCTGGAAATAAGCTCCTGGTTTGCTGGATGTGAGATTTGTCTGCTATTCTTGTCGAGCCTTTTCTTACTCTTTTTCTGTGCCCTTCTTTCCGTTGCGCCTGTGATTAGGACGTTCTCTCTCTTGCTTTCTCTAGGCCCGTGTGTACAAGCGAGAGAGGCGAGCTGTTCGTCACTCAAGCGCTTGACTAAAATATTGGTGCCGTCGGCAGCATATGGGCTGGGTAGCAAAGGCGTTACATAGTTCCATGTGTTGACCAAAGGGGGACCACCTGTTACGCGGACCCGCGCCAATCACATGTATTTGTGGCGACTCCTCCGCAAGTGGTTTGCCGTATCTTCTGGAGAGCTTGGGGCGTACGCCGACCGTACGGTGGGCATTCATGCACATGACGTTTGTCAGCCGAGAGGGGCGTCGTTTTGTGGAGAACCTCCATTTCTTCTTGTCGTCAGCAGTATCTCCTATCTATTGTTTCTGCTGCTGGGTCTGTCGCAAGACACCTGTAGACCGTAGACGATATGAGTCGGTGGGAAAGGAGGGTGTCGAATGTAAGGTAGACACGTCGTGTTTGTGTGATACCCGAAATCATCGGGTATGGTAACGCTGTTTGTGGCGGATGAGGGGGGCACCGGCTTTTCCTTGCGTGTCCATGGGTAATAGATTATGATGTCTTGGAGGTGCGAACACCTGGCAACCTGCTCTGAGTGGATTAAGAGAGACCCTGCAGTTTACCATCAATGCTTCTGCGTCTCCCGTCGTAGTGATGCCTGACTCTAAGTCGCTAATTGCGAAGAGCACAATTGAGCACAGTTCACCCCTCCCCACCGCGAGATGCGCCGCAATCATCCGACCTCCCCCGTCAATCGCGGAGGGGGGCTTGCAGAACGCACGGTGGTAGGAACAAGTATTCCCTCTTCCCGAGCTTTTTTTTCGGGCGTGTCTCGGTTTGGTGGCATCACTGCAAGGACCGAAGCTCGTCATGAAGGCCGTCCCTGCTGTATCACAGTTGGGGTGCAACATGACGACAACCCATGCTGTGTAGGCAATTGGCGTAAAACTTGATCGCCCCTGCTCTGCTACAGATGTGGCAGTGTTTGACATACTTGGTAGCTTTCCTCAATATTCTGCGAAGAAAACGTTCAACACACGTACGTATGCCCACTGACCAAAAGTCGGGGTCCGCCGGGGGGGCATTTATACAGAAATCCCGGGTCTCTTCTGAGGCATGTTCGGTCAGGCCGCTGCTGCTTCTTGTGTGTTGTGAACGTATGATACGCCATTTAGGCCTGGAGACCGCCGAGAGGCGGTAGACACCACCCCGGAAAACCTTAGACGTTTGCACCCCGACTGACCTTTTGGAGCAGCCTCTAAATGCAAGGCGTGTTGGCTTTAGTTCGCGGTGAGCCTTTATACGCACAAAAAACATATGCGTTACTGGGTTAGAGCTGCATCAACCGCACCCAACAAGCCCAGGCGGCAACTGTGGTACTTTCAGCATCGACGACCTTTCCCTCCACCGATGATGCAAGGGACAACACCCCCACCGACTATTGATACATATCTACATCATGTAGTTACATTCTACCAGAGAAAGCAGCGTAGGATAGCACGCCCACAACACAGACAGGAAGGCGCGAAACAAAGTCACCAGTGCGGTTTCCCATGCACGTCGCAACATCCTACAAATTGGAGCTCCACGTCCTTCGAACTCCCCCATTCCCAGTTCACATTTTGTCAACCTGCATTGCACATCCCCTTATCACCGCTACCATTGGAGGAGAGATCATGACATCATGTTCCCACGAGGACATGCCAAAGCATTACACAGCCGCAACCGTTGCATGCAATCACTCACAGACAAGCACTTCCTGCTGATCCCTCCACCTTTGACTACATACCCTTCTGAGCCCAATGGGTCTCTTATCCCCCCTGATAAAAATATCCCAAATAGCACAGCGACTTTGTACAACACTGACCCCGAGATGGACTCCCTCATGCTCTCGCCCCGCGCCAAAGCTCAGCCGAGCGAACGAGATGAGTACGTCGCCAACCAGTTCGGCATGGGCCGGTGCCTCCGACCACCACTAGCACCACAGGCTAGCAGCTCAGACAAATAACAGCCAGTGCTCAAACCAGGCAGCACAGGGGAAAAACACCTCAGCAGCGGCCCGGCGGGTTGATCCGATCAATAGCATAGGGGTGGCCATCAACGAGTGTCGGCGAGCATTAGAGCGGGATTCTCCAAGTAAGCTTTCCATGTGTTCGAGAACCGGGCGAGGGTGCCTCCGTCGACGACGCGATGGTCGGCCGACCAGGACACCGGGATCACCTTGCTGGCCACGACCTTGTCCGTGTCGACAGCATCGAAGCGGGGCACGCGCTGCATGCGCCCGAGGGCGCCGATACAGACCTAGAACAATATCGGACAATGGCAGAAAAGTTATACCGACGAAATTTCATGGTTGGAGGGGTTGAGGTCGGCAAGAAGATCGATGAAAAATCGCAAAACAGGGCTCCCGCCGACAACGGGATGGAAAGGGTGAATATCGGCAAATAGCTCTTCGTTCGTTGCCGACAGAGTTCGTTTCGGAAGGAGGCTGGCTCTGTTTGAAGCGGTCGCCGCAGTGGGGAGTGGGTGGAGCGGGGGTGCGAGAATGCAAACTGCGGGGATCTAGGCGGTTCCGTCCCATGGGATCAACAAAACAACGGCGTGAAGGAAGATGGTCGAAGTCACCACAACCATCTAACCGCAGCCCCATTGCTCAAGCGATGACACACGAAGCGTCAGGGAGGGAGGGAGGGTATGAAGCCGGCCGACAAACAGAGAAAATCGCCCCATTGTGCGTTTCGTGCTCTGTGCAATAGGTTTGGAAAGAAACAACTTCCGCCTTCCAATCACGGCAGAGGACCCTACATCGATTGATTGTAGGCGCTCCCAATTCAGCACATGACTTGTTCAAGGCACGTACTGGCACCTGCCAGCGTGCATGTTTCGGTGCCTAGAACTATTCCTCCCCAGGTCTTCTCATTTTCACGAACCAAATCTCAACAAGAACTACGCATTGTGTGTGACAACCACGGCATAGGGGGCAAGGCTAAGGGTGTGAATGCTAAGAGTGTCGGGTACCGACCTGGGGGTGGAGAATGACGGGTGATGCGTAGGTGCCGCCGATGCTCCCGATATTGGATAGTCTGCCGTGCCGCCGCCGGATGAAGAAAACGCGAAGGATGTCGATTGGCAAGGATTGTCAGACAAAACGGCAAGGCTAGAGCAGATCGGCGCACTCAGCGGAAAAGTAGTGAACGAACCCGAATTAATTCCTTTCCGTGCTGCCAATCCAAACACGCCGACTTAAAGACACGTGAAGCGGAAGGCCACCACGAAGTATATCTTGCCGCAGACGACACACTTTGGCGAAACAATCCCCACAAAGACAGATCTATGGAATTTGGAGGTGTTTCGGCCTCACGTGAAAGTCGTTCCGGCAAGTTCCTCCTCTCCCAGCTTTCCCGCGGCCCCGAGTCTCTGGAGGGTGTTCAGTTCCTGCAGAGGGGGGTCGAACGTGCGAACACGCCCACCACAATGGGGAAACGGGCGCGTGGGGGTTAAACGAAGTTATAAACAGCTTGGGAACGGGGACTAACACAGGCCCACAAGCCTTCCTGCCACTGGAGGAGAGAGCGGAAGCGGTGTTGTGTGACGACGGCAACAACGACCTAAAAACATCACCACAACAACAACAGCAATACCTCCGCGATGTCGAGAACGCTCATCTCCTCCACGTTGGCGATGCAAGGAACAAGCAGTCCCTTTTCGGTGTCCATCGCAACCCCGATGTTGTGGCCTGGATGCTGCAGCAGGAACTTCTTGTCTTCACTCAGGCTGGCGTTGAGGGTAGGGAAGGCAGTGAGAGCCATCGACGTGGCCTGCCATGGGAGGTTCAACAGCAACCGTAGCATGTTCAAAGGCGGAGTCGAAGATCCCCGATGATCGTCGTCATGGCAATCGACGAGCTACATTTATGCCCGACTTCCGCACGTGCCGTGCCGCCCATAGAACAATCACCTAGTTCCGCTGACAAGTACTCTGGGCCAACGCTTTCGGTTGCTGGTAGACAACTAAGCTGGAGGAGTATTCACGCGAGACGCTTATTTCTCATGAGAAACAACTCGTCTACAGTCTGTGGGGTGCCCGACAGCCACAGGCCGGGCGTCCGGGACCTTCTCGTATCCACCCCACAACTAGCGAGAACCACCACCACACATGCCGCCCAGTCTTCACACAGAACCCCCAGCCCAACCAGGATCGAGGCGTCGTTGTCACCTTGACGATGAGAGGCAAGTAGCTCAGCCTGGCACCCCGCCGCTCGGCGGCCTCCTTAAGGTCGGACCTCAGCTTGCCCAGGCGGTCCGCGTTTACCTCGTCGCAGAAGGTCATGTGCGGCACCTCGAGGGCCTTCCGCATCGCCTCCATCATCGCCCGCTGGACTCCTGTCGAATGGGTCATTCGCTGCAAAATGAGCGATGAAAACATATAATTGCTTGCGGCCCGACGGTAAACATAGACCGGGCCCGCAGTCATTCAAGGCAAATCCCGCTGGGCAAAGGAAAACAGCTCAAACGTTCATGAAAAGTAAGAAAATAGGGTCCAGGAACACACCACCGGCGGGGATCCTACACTCAACCCAATAAAAAAAAACTGTACTTGACGGTGGCAACGAAACAAAAAATCTAGGTACGGCCCGAAAAATACAGTTCATGTCTCCGGGCCTTCCAGTAGTCCACCCACCGTCAAATTACTTCGGTACCAATACCCTGCCCCGCCACCTTTACTCCCTCGCGTGACTTTTGAGAGTTGATACGTGTGGACCGAACTCGGCGACGGTGCGAAACACCTCTCCGAGAGGGATCGATTATCCGGTCCAAAACCAAAACGAAATCGTCGAACACGGTCAAGTGGCGAAATGCCTTTCCGACCAGAACCGACACATGGCTACCCGTTTCGACGCATTGTTGCCCCGCGCTAGGCGAAGAGCACTTCGAGAAGCTTCTCGACACGAGCACGAGTTGTTCCCAACCCCCCCCCACCCCCCCCGGCGTTTGCCATCGGGGTTGGGTTTTCGTCGCTTGGCAACGACGTTGTAAAACAAGCCCCCCCCTCGGTGTTTGCCATCGGGATTGGGTTTTCGTCGCTTGGCAACGACGTTGTAAAACAAGCCAATTCACTTCGTGAACTCGGCAACCAGGTTACCGTTTTTTTTTTTACCTCGTTTTTTTTTTGGCGGTAACCATAATGGTGGTCGAGTAGATCATGTTGTGCGGGGTCGAGAAACCTCACTCCGCGCAACGGGGGATGATCGCACCACGTTGTGTTAAAATGGTCAAGCATCCTCGAGGCAGTTACACAGTGCTTACAACTGTCTATGGAAGTGAAAGCACCAGAAAATAAATTAAGTCATACGTAGCTGTCATCCGTACGCAAGGAAGTAAGCACAAGATGCCGAACACCCTTAGCAGGATGCAGCTCATCCTTCATGCGACTCGCCAAATATCTCACGGCGCTTCGCGCTTGGTAGATGTGAGAGCCTGGTCCGGTGAGAACCCGGCGTGCTCCGTCCCGGCTTTGTAGGGATGCGAGGTCAATGGTCTAACGACTACGGCATGCACGACTATGAGTACACCCCCCCCCCCCCCAACATACACCGTGCTTCACCTTTTATCGGCACTGCGACAGTCTCCTTTGCCTCATGTCGTGACCGCTGCTGCTCCCCCCCCTCTTTCTTTCTCCGCCGCCACCTCCACCCCTTCTCCCTGCTGCCGCCGCCGCCGCCGCTGCTGCTGCTGCTGCTGCTGCTGCTGCTCTTGCAGGTTGGATTCCCGGGCCGCCGTGCCCATCTCGCCGTTGATGGGGCCTCCGCTCGCCGCGGTTTTCGCCGTCGCCGAGGCGTGCGCGAGCACGTCGCCTTTCAGCAAGCGTCCCCCAGGGCCTGTTCCAGGGATTGGTTCCAAGGCGAGGTCGATGGACATCTCACGGCAGAGTCGTCGGACGGCCGGGGTAGCCAAAACCTTGCCATAAACAATTGGCGGAAGCAAGCGATCGGGGGGGGTCACGAGTGTTTCTGCTTGCCTTGGCCGCACGACGGAGGGGGCAAACACCTCTTTCGCCTGATGTAGCGAGCCACGGCGGTCAGACGCAATATGGCTTCGTTGGTAGCAACACCCACACAGATCCTAGCGACGCAGAGAGTGAGAAGTGGGACACGGCGGCGGCGAAGGCTGAGAACTCCAGCCACATTAGTCGGTGGCACTCCAGAAAAACCCACACAGCCACGCGTACAAAACCCACACCATGTCGTACACAAGCAAAAACAAGGGAGCATTTTCCTTTGCTGTTTGCACTCTCGCGCTACCTGTCTCCTCGCCTGCGCGCTCCCCTCAAGGTCGCCAACGACTCCTCCATTTCCGAATGACGTCCCTCCGGTGCTCTCCGGGGTTACCGTTTCAGCAGGTGCCGGCGGCGCCACTGCTGGGTGTGGCGAACTCGGCACCGAAAGCTGCGGCACCCCCGTACTTTCAGCCGACGACAAGTACGGCTGCCTCGGTGTGGAACTCCCCGCGGAAGAAGCCGCTCGCTCCTCGATGTCCACTAGAACAGCGCCTGTCTGCGGGTCGGGCAGAACAGACGTTTGGTTTCACTTAGTTTAATCCCCGAACATACGTGCGCCAGAAGACATGCGGCAGCCCAGCGAGATGCAGCGTTGCCCTCAGAGAGAACAGGAAACACCACCGCCAGGCCATTCCGCCGCGGCCTGCGGGGAGCGTGGTCCTGTTTTCGCGGAGACCGAGGATGCGGCATCACCCGGAAAGGGTTAAGCTCGGTGGTGGAAGCATCTTGCAATCTGCTGTGCCTCCCTCCTTGCATAACATCACAATCACCTGGACCATGTCGCCAACATTCCAGTGAACCTTCCGCACCACACCATCGTATCGGCTGGTTATTTCAACGTTCGCCTGCCCGGAGCGTCGATCAGGGTGCGAAGGAATGTTCCCGCGGGATGGCAGGGGTCAGGGGCAAGAACAGGCCTCCCGGCAGATAGATTGATTGATAGGTGCAGAGATAGCTGAGGGCTGATGTGGGGCAGGGTGCAAGGAAAGAAAAGTAGATGTTCATGCTGTGGATGGAGGCGCTGCCTACGTTGGTTGTCCTACAACACTGCTGTATTCGCACGCCTGACGCGCTCGCACGTGTAGGCGGGTGCTCCGCCAAATGCACCACAGCTAAAACCACGTGTCGAACCTCTCTCGGTGTGCTAAATAGGGAGGGGATAACGCGTACCTTGTCGCTCTGGACCTCGCACAGCTTGTCGAACTGGCTCACGCTGTCGCCGGGAGCAACATACCATTGCAACACCTCCACTTCCAAGATTCCCTCTCCGATGTCTATAGCGGGGTGAGATGCGGGCCGCGCACCGAAGGGCGGGAGATAGGGGAGAGCGGGGTGCATGAACCAAAAAAAGCAAGGGAGGATGTTTTCGAAAGACTGGATCGCATACTGGGGAGGACGGCCTCATCAGCCATTCGTCCCGGATTTTGTCGTACGCAGAACGGCATTGGATTGAGAGGTCGTGAAGCACCGCGAGCGTCAGTGCCCCGCCTCTCCCTCTGCTGCGCTTGCCTTAGTTCTTGTGGCGAGAAGGGTTCAAACATCCCTTTCCCTCGTCGACCGTGAAGCCGATTGTGTGCACTCACGACCTGTAGACTACAGTAGTCGCTCTCTACTTTCTAAGATTGTGGAAATATGCACACACACCCGGGATAAACCCTTCGCAGAGAGAATCGAAACCACAACCTGCAGAAGTTTGACCACTACTCCATGAACCACCGCTACAGCATTACTTCTACATTATAGAAGGACTCAACATTTCAAACACAAGAAAAAAATAGAGCCACACGAACGACGCACCACACTCTCACCCGTCAGGCGAAAGCTCGTCAATCCATTGCTGCTGTCACCGCCGCCGTCGTCGCCGCTGCCGTCCACAACCACATCTCTCGAGATCTCGACATCGAGATCCAAAGCAGCAGCAGTCGATTTAAAGCGGGCGCCGCCTGCGGAAGATCCGGAAACGCGAGGCAGCAGCGGCGCGTCACCGCCGCTACCGCTAACAACCTCTGGAGACAGGTTGAACTCAACTTGACCACTGCGGGTGTGGAATACTTGACGAGGTGATCCAGCGGCGGGGGCGTGTGTTGAGGTGGGCGATACTGCGGACGCTCTCGAGATCGGCAGGCCGGAGCAATAGCAGCAGGGTTCGTCCGTGTGGCCGCGGCAGTAAGAGGGCACGATCTTCGCCGAGATCCCTCTTGCCGTTGATCTGCCCAATGCTGTGGCGGTTGATGTTCCGAGGGCGGACCTCCATTTCGAGAGGATCATCTCTCTTCGACTGCCGTTTCTGTTTTTCAAAGCGAGAGCACACCGGGCGCGACAGAGTGCCAATTGAACAAACAGGGGGCGTCGGGGAAGTAACAGGAGCTTGGTAAGGTGGTGTAGTCCCAACACGGTGACTGCCTTGAGTCTGGGTGAGAGGACGTGTTCGTGAAATCAGCTACATACGCGCCAAGCACGCGGCGAGTCTCCCCGCGGTCCCGTTTCAAAAACCTCGAAGTCGTCATCGCACAACTCGCACCGCCCGCAGCAGTGCCGTGAGCCGTTCAGCGTGGACGACGCTCACGACAAGCAAGAACAGCCCCTACATGCGAACTTACCCTTCCTCACGATCCTGTTAGGTTCCTCCTGTGGCGTCTGGCTCCCTGTGAGCGAGTCATTACTTCATGTTGAATCACTACCCCAAAATCATGGAACAAGTGACGGAAAACGCGGCGTGATTACAGGGCAGTCAAATGTTCTACTGTACCGTCTCTTGCCACCTAGCATCACCAAGCGTACCGGGAGGAGGGATTGGAATCACGTGAGAAACTTGTGTTATCAGGTGGGCCCGATGTGTTCTGCTGGCACACGCCAGGTTTTGTAGCGGGTCCTAAAATAGCCACACGAAACGCGGCGGTTCTCGTCCGATCTTGTTGTCATCAGCCGCGTGTCGTGTGCGTCGACAACCCAACCCACCTTCAAAGTTCCGTCGCTCGGAGGTGCCCCGGCAACCCATAGAGATCGCAGAGTCGCGGACGCCTTCGCCTTGTTTCCCTTTCACTCTATCGCTTTCCATCAATCAACGGTGATATCTCCAAAGCAACAATTTTTCCCTCATCTTTTTGGTGAGGATATGGGTTCACCAGACTACTGCTGTACAGCAGTGCTGTTGCTTCCTCAAAGTTGAAGGAGACAGAGAGAAAAACCAGACGACTCTAACTGACTCTATTCGGTGTACGTAGGCTTGGGAGGCGACTTGCTACTCGCTAGATTCCGTTGCTCGATTTCTAACCTTACTGTTTCCCTTCATGGAGAAAAAAAACATCTCGAGCGTGTCGAGAAAGGTCACGTGTAAGTCCTTGTCCTGCATCTGCAGAAGGGGTGCCGGGAAAATGCTGCGTACATTTATGTACAATTTTCTATACACAGAAAGCGCACGCGAGATACAAGCTGGCGCTCGTTAATGGCGTTGATTGCGTTACGGCAAAGTGTAGCTTTTGATGCTTGTGCGTCTCATTTTCTATGCATAGACTGGTTCGGTGCAGCTGACGTGCTCTCTGCTTGTAACTTTCCGGGGGCATCTGTCGCATCAGGAAATTCATCTCGCCTAGAGAGGCGACTTCCCAAGTGGTCATTCAAGTACGGCGGCAGCCATGTCGCCCAGTGTTGCAAGGTGCCCTCGATCCCTAGCAGCGGGTTCCGCCGGCCTGAGGAATGTCGTTCTCAGCGCCACCAGCGCCAGCTCCACCGGATCGAGGATTCGAAGCGCCTCGGACAGCTTGCTACTTCGACCGCCTCGCAGCAATCGGGAGGTAAGAGGAAATAAACGATTATGTACAGATCGAGCCCATCCCTCGGCGCAATTGCGGGCTTTCGCCCCCACGATAGTACCCTCACACGTCAAAGCGTGTTGTCCACCACTACTGTAGGACAACGTGCGAGGGAGCGTTCTTCGAAATTGAAGCACGCCTCCGCGAGACAGTACGTCGTAAGGCCGGCAAATTTTCGTTGCTTGACGCGGAGAAAATCACGGAGCCCCCGGTAGCAAGGAGTGTTTAGAGAGCACGAGAAAGTCGAACGAATTCAACACGGGTGTTCGGCTTCCTCTTTCCCGTCTCTGCTTCTTGATCTAACACATCCTGGTTTAGAACAGAAGACGTTAAAGAATTTCAGCTGAATAATTTGATCGGTTCACTCATGGTGGGCACCAAGAAGTTCCCCCGATCGCCCCTGTTGGCTACCACCGCCACACACACCAGCCCCGGCGGCAGCGATGGACCGCGGCAAGCAAGGGCGGCGCTCTGGCCCGGCCACGAGCGCTTCATCCACCGGGGTTTCCGAATCGAAGAGCTTCGAGCGTCGTCGATAACGACATCGATGAGGATGATGATTCGGTGGCGGCAGGGGCACATGGCACGAAAGGAGCTTCAGCTGCCGCCGGCCCCGGCTCCGGCTGCGGAACAAGGTACGCGGAAGGACCTAGCACTCGGATGAACCTGTTCACGGCCGTGAATGCTGGGCTTCGAACGGCGATGGAGACCGATGACACCGCGGTAAGGGAGGCAGCCCAACACAGGGGGCATGTCGGAAAGAATCGGGCATTTCCGCAAGAAACAGGCATGTCGGAAATATGTAGTTAAACACACGTAGTTCTGTTTTCACAGCGTTTGCTATCCAGCCTATGGTGTTCGGCACGGCGGTGGTATATGATACGCGGCGCTGATAGAACAATGGAGAGGCGGACAAGCAGGTTTCCAACGGACGATCGCCACACCTGGGGTTTGACCGAAAAGTAGATAGCGCGTACACAGCACCCCGTTCAATGAGTTTTTTTGTTTTCTCCGTGATGGAGTCACAATGGAGCGTTCTTTCCACAGAGGTTGCATTTTTAGTGGGAGTGATTATTCGTCTGTTGTTGGAAACCTCATGGGGGGTGGCGATCTGTCCCGTGCTACCAGATAGTGTTTGGAGAAGACGTGGCATTCGGAGGCGTGTTCCGCTGCACGGGCGGCCTCAAGGAGCAGTTCGGGCCTGACCGCGTGTTCGACAGCACCCTCTGCGAACAGGGCATCGCGGGGTTTGCGATCGGATACGCCTCAATGGGCAAGACTGCTATCGCCGAGATTCAGGTGCACCTTGATTGCCGCGCAGAGTCCAAAAGCGAAAGCTCTGTCATCTGTCGACAAGTGTTTTGTCCCCAGTGCAGTGCAAGCGCGGTTTTCCGTTGCTCGTGCTACACGCGAGGTGTACGGACGGAGGCAAACATGGAGTACTAGCGAAGCTGTTGTTCATTTTGACATTCTGGGGGGAAAACACGTTGAGCGCACGAGGCATACGTCTTCAAGCGGCGAAATTCGATCTCCGCTCTCTGTTTGTACGTTTTGTGTTTTTGCACCCGATAGCAATATTGTTTTCTTAAGCCCCTTCGGTTTTCGTTCATGGTACATATGGCGCCTGCTGCCGCATGCCATCTCCTGTCAACGCCACTGACATACAACACAAACCTTTCTTCTCCCCGCTCACGCCGCACCGCGATGGTCGACACCACAACACCACGCCTCACCCCTCTCTCCGTGCCTGTTTTGTTTCCACGCTCTCGCTGACTTTGTGCAGTTCGCAGACTACATTTTCCCGGCCTTTGATCAGGTGAGAGTTGAAAACAGCGCCGAGGAGTATGGCGTGCACATGAAACCATCGCGCCTTGCGCGATGTCGGTTGTCATTTGTTTGTTCTCTATGTCCTCGATGCGCTTCACGATCTCGACGGGCATTTCGGGGGTGGAGAGTATCCGTGCTGTGGTCTACATCAGCGCATTGAAATTGCAGTTTTTTTCTCCCACGACATGATTCCCGTCTCTCACCGCCCCCCGGCGCAAATTTGATTTGATTCTCGTCCAGATTGTAAACGAAGCTGCCAAGTTTCGGTACCGCTCGGGCGACCAGTTCAACTGCGGAGGGCTAACCATCCGTGCCCCGTGCGGCGCCGTGGGCCACGGAGGGCACTACCACTCACAATCCCCCGAGAGCTACTTCGCGCACACGCCGGGACTGAAGGTACTAGGGGCGAGCCCCATTGTTTATGGGCATCGGCACGTTTTCCCCCATGTCGTCCCCAATGTTCTAAGTCACGCTTGTGTGGATGCAGACGTGTGCGCGTGAATGGTTGCGAAGCACGATGGTCCTGCGAGGTCACTGATCGCCCCATTCAGAACTTAGTTGTGGGGATATTCCTGCTTGCGAGCAAAATTTCCCGGATATTGGCGGTGGCGATATCAAGAAAAGCCGTGGGTCTGTAGAGCCGGGGCCACAGCCATCTTTTTCCGTTTCGTCTTCGTGTGTTTGGTTCGTGGTAAATGCCTTGTTCCTGGGTGTTGTTGTGGTTAGATGGTTGTGCCCAGATTTGCTTTTCTTTGGCAATCTGATATTCTGGCTAATCGGTGTTTGCGTGGTTAGGTGGTTATGCCCAGAAACGCGACGGAAGCGAAAGGCCTGCTGCTGGCCTCGGTGAGGGAGCCGGATCCGGTGATCTTCTTCGAGCCGAAGATCCTCTACCGCACCAGCGTCGAGGACGTGCCCGACGGCGACTACGAGGTGCCACTAGGGGTGGCGGACGTGATGAGGGAGGGGACCGACGTGACCTTGGTGAGAGGGGCGCAGAGGCGGGTAGAAAGAGAGGCAGCAAGATACAGCAGAGCTAGATACAAGAGGGAGGGAGATGAAGACAAAAAAACAGACAGACATGCAGATGCAATAACAGAGAGGAAAATCTACAGAGGAAGATCGCGACAGCAAGACAGGTACATGTACATCGATGCGCATATGAATAGATAGAAGCAAAGCTAGGCATAGAGTCGCGGTTGCGGGCCGGCATTTGTCGTTCTGGAGTTTGTTTCGCTTGGCGCCGAGTGGTGTTTGACGTGCCTACGGGGTTGGAAGATTCCATGATACACATTCGGCACGATGGTGGTCGTGGAAACTCGATGTCGCGAAGATTGCCGAGTCAGACGGGATTATTTCATTTCGCTTTGGAACACATCCAAGGAGTTGAAAGACTCTTCCACACGTTCCTAGTGAAGAAAGGAAACGCGTACTTCATGTACCACACATAAGATCAGGCTATCCAAGCTGTGGCAGTCGTCCGAAGGTCCACGTGGGCGTTCGTTGACACCAAGTGGTCCAAGAATTTCTGTTCGGAGTGCGCGGCGGATCTCATGATCTGCACTCAACCGCTATTGCCCACATTGTTATGCTTGGAATTGGGGCAATAAAAAATGTCACTGAGCACCAACTTGTGGTTTGCTGCACGTCAGGCTGGTGTTTGTTTCGCTGTCTTTCGGTCCTTCTCTGTTCGTGTCTCTTGCTCGTGTTTCTCTCTCGTACAGCGATATGACTTTCTGCGCCGTTCTATCTGTTTGTGTGTCTGTCTGTCTGCTTCCTTGCCTGTTTCTCTCTCTCTGTCTGCGTGTCTGCCTGTCTGTCGCTCTGTCTCTCTGTCTCTCTGTCTCTCCCTCTGTCTGCCTGTGTGTGTGTGTCTGTGTGTCTGTCTGTCTATCCCTTACTTTCTCTCTCTATCTCTACCGTCTCGATGATGGCCAGGTCGGATGGGGGGCCCAGCTACGAGTGATGTCCGAAGCGTGCGACGACGCGGAGAAGGAGGGCATCAGCTGCGAGCTAATCGACCTCCGGTACGCCAATCCCGTTCTTCGTAGCCTCGACCGATCCGATCGGGAGAGAAGGCCCTCCCTCCTCCCGAAATCTCGATAGCGGGCATCACCCGGCGTGGTTCCCGCTACTACCGTAGGTTGCACTGGATGTCACACCCCCCGTACTGATTTTCGAAGCTCGAGTACTCTGCTGCAGGAACCGTCACGATTGCGCCGGTCCAACCGTCTCGTCGAAAGCTTCCCGAAAATGTGGCATTTGATTGTGGCATCCTCTTCAAAGCGGAGTAACCGACCTTTGAAAATTGGTCGAGCGTTTGCGATATCTTACGCAACCTACGGTGACCCCTGCGACATCGGGTATCTCTGATGGCTGGAGACGTGTCCCCCTCTGAGGCGTTTCCTTCTCTCATTACCCCTCTCTCTCGTCCGTCCCTTTTCCCGTTCGTTTCCTCGCTCACCTACAACACACAATACACACGAACAGCACGATTCTTCCGTGGGACTTCGACACGGTGAGCCGTTCGGTCAAGAAGACGGGGAGGCTAGTGGTATCCCACGAGGCGCCAAGGACCGGGGGCTTTGCGGCCGAAGTCGCCGCGGATATGCAGGTAGGCGCGAGCCTCTACAGCTAATCTTTTTCTCGCGAACCGCGAGGTTTTCGTGCTGTGCCGCCCTCATGTCGCATCGTACCCGTGGTCGTACGTTGCAGTATCAAACGGTATTGCAGTATCCATGCTTGAGCGCTGCTTTGACAATCTTTGTCGCTCGACCACGCCGCGTAGAACTACAGTAGTACCCGGGTACACACGAATGACACAACCATGGGGGCGGACTACCGTTGACTTCGTGACCCGAGCAAGGATGCACACGCTGCTCGCGTTCTACCCTCGTCTGTGTCATGGGGCCTCCACACCCACCCGCGCCCCGCGATGCAGGAGCGATGTTTTCTACACCTGGAGGCACCGGTGCAACGGGTGTGCGGGTACGATACCCCCTTCCCTCTCGTGTTCGAGAAGTTCTACGTTCCCGGCCGGTTCAAGGTTCTCGACGCTGTCCGTGACGCCGTGAACTACTAGAAATGTATGCGATCCATCGCCAGCGTTTTACGTACGCGATATCCGCAACGGTGACTAAGCGCCAGGTGTATTTCTTGTTGCTGGACTCTGGGAAGATCAGCGTGTAATTTCTAGGATTTAGGCGCGGCTCTTGTGCTTGGATCCCGCCCTCACGGCGACACTGGAAGCGTCGTGATATGTATGTCGTACATAACGTATATACATTCTAGTGAGGATGGCCATCAAATGCGATGCAGCCGTCATCGAGGATACTGTGTAGCATGCCTGGGCTTGTACAACGTGCATGGGATTTCTAAGTAAACGAGGGTCGTGCAAGCATTACATTTGATTCAAAAATACGTCCGGTCTACATACTGTAAATATCAATTTCGGGCGTGGGCTAATGCAGCACCCGGTGCATCGTGAAGCAACAAAGTGTCATCGTCGTGAAATCGCGGGTTCTGTTTCCGATTGCAAGGGTCGTGCCCACATGCCAGCAAAGCAGGAGAACGTTGAGCAGCGGGAAGTGCGCGTCATGTGAAGTTTCTCTTGCATGGAACTAATTTACAAGGCACATGCAAGATTTCGTGATTTCGTGGGGCGGGAGGATGTCGCGGTACTACGAAGGAACTGCATGTTCGGCAAGTGGTGGTGTGTACGTAAAGAAGTGTCGCGATAACAATTGCCGCCCGCTGCTCAACTGCCCCATCATTCTCACGACCCTGTTTGCCATCCACCTCACCTATAGTTCCGTCTTCGGGGACGTTCGCCATACAAAGAGTTACGGATCCTGAACGTTCGCGTTGGCGAGTTGCTACCGCTGATGCCGCTCTAGCCATCATCTTCTATCGGTGAAGTACTGTGTTGCTACAGGAGGCCAAGTTTCGCGACCAAATTGGTCAGCTTGCAGAAGGCGGGCGGAACGAGGGCAGATGGAGCACTCTTGGTCCCATAAAACGGCCAGTGCAATGCGCGGTGTTTCAGCTTATCCAAAAATGACACATGTAAATAACTGCTGGTTTGCTACGGCAAAGTGGTGAGAAACCACACGCGCTCGCCCGTGGCACCGCGGTATGCCCGTGGCACCGCGGCATTTCGCTGCGCTCTCGACCAACCACAGTTTCACCGCACTCGGCATAGCAACAACCCTCAAGGTGCGTGAGGCTAGAGTCGTGTTTCCGTTGTAAGGGGGTCGAGATCGGTTGTCACGGGCTCGACCCGCAATATGAGGGTTACCCTCTTAGAGAGACAAGCCCACTTGTAGTGGGCTAACCCCAACATAAAGTTTCAGGATTGTTTATCTGTGTGGCTTTTGGCGCCTTCACACACGCAAAAACACACACACTGCGGCTCAAACCAAACCGGCAGCAGCATACACACTGCACGGCTGGAAAATGTGTCGTACCCCAGACGTCACGACTGAGCCTCCCGATGAGTATGTGTGTCGCGGAGGTTGTGGCGGATGGCTTCACGAACATGATTCGGTAAAATTGTGTGCTACCAGGAGGCGAACCCTTCTAACGACGAGCTAGCGACAACGACGACGCCGACGATTGCACTGGGCTACCACTTCACCACACATGCATATACAGTCACACATGCATAAACGTACGGCATCCTGGTGTCCTTGTTTCTCGTTGCTCCCGATTTTACCCCAAATAAAAAGGTTACCCCACTGTATAGAGGACCCCGATATAAGAGGGGGTTGCGATATACGAGGGTCGAAGGCCCTTGTCACACTGTACATACATGTCAACAGACAGAAAAGCAGCGAGATTTTTCGGCTACCTCAAACATTTGAGGCGTTCACAGTCCCGACACAGCCGGTACGGCGACAAAATTCACGGCCTTCTCTACCTCTCGCATGGCGTGCAGCGCGAGCTCCTCCTGGAAGGGCATCGTCATTACCTGCAGCGATCAATTTAGCGTGGAAGCAACATCATTTGGGTGGGGGGTCGGGGGAGGATTCGGTGGAGCCCAGTACCGTACCCGTGTTAATAGAGGAAAAAAATAAGACGATAAAAAACGCCTCCTTCGGGCCCTCAAAGCTTGGTGCCAGCGATCAACGGTGTGTCGTCTCCCATCCCACACGGGAGGAAGATTCAGCGGTGCTTCAGCGAGTGTGGCCCTCATCCTACGATAGTCGGCAGTCTTTTGTAAGGGACCTGAAGGATAATGCGAATGAAACCGAGAGAGGGCTTCAAATACGCAGCCGACGATGACCGACACCATCACTATCATCCCCTTAGCATACCTGCACCCCAACAGGCAGCCCTGCCGAGCCACGCATCGTCTCTCTCGCGAGCCGGGCGGTTCCATCGCGCTGGTTCACGGGCAAACGTTTCACGTCATAGTCCTGGTGCGTCGCGGGGCAACAATACAAAAAAGGAGTGAAGAGGACGTTCTTTCCGGCTGAAACCGTCGCAGTTTGGCTAATCGAAACTATTGGTGCACAAGTCAGCGCATATACCACACATTTGATTTCAACGCATCATCAGGAATGACAAGTCTATTTCTCTTGATATGATGTATTCGCCTGTACTGAACCTGTGACCACGGAAGGCGTCCGCGTCGTTCCGACCGGTATGGTACCGAGCGGAGATCGGAATAGCTTGTAACGTGAAGGCATCAACGACAACTACTTCGACACCTACCCGCCCCCGAAGCGTGCGCTCCGATTCATGAAAGGAGACCTTGGCGAACCATCACGAAGTGAATCCTACGAGAAACAGAGACAGATTATAGAGAGACAGGAAGAGAGAGAAGAGAGAGAGAGGACTGCAGTAGACCGGGGTCTCTTCGCCCCTTCGAACGCATCTCACCTGTTCGTCTGGCCTCACTAGGGTCACCGGTACCACCCCGGCGGGCCAGTGGAGAAGGTTGGCGACAAACATATAGGTGAACGCGAGGGTAAGGTCCTTCGCCGCTCCGTGGGGCAGCGCCGGCAGGGCGACCGGCGGGAAGATGACCTTGACGGATCAGGCAAAGGTTACGCAGGTGCAGAACGGGCCATTTCTCGGAAACCTTGACCGAAACCACATTTTTTTCGTACGCTCATTTCTTCCATACTAAATATCTTGAACGATTCAGTCAGTGTTGTAGGTTTTTCGCGATAGAAGAAGGGAGTCTCGCGGCAAATAAAAGAGGATCTTCGTTACTGGTGGGTTCAGCATCATCGCAATTGAATCGCAATTGATCAGGGTTCAATACTAACGGGTTTAAGGAAAATCAGGAGCAACAGGCGGAAATATGACGTAAGCAGGAACAACAATCGAGGGCGTGGCCTCAAACCATATCAAACCTTCACCTCGCACAGGACAACGTACCGCATCAAGCCCCGCGTCGGTTACCGCATCTTCCCACTTGGAGCGAAGGTCGTAGGTGTCCGCCACGAGCTCGTAGTACTGCCGGACGCTCAGCCCCTTGTTTCTCGTGATCCTGTAGCCGCAGACAACATTGCAAGACCAAAAAAAAAAATTATGGCGAAAAACAATCGTGACACCATTGGAGGCGAACAATTCCCATCCTTCCTCCTCGGGGGAACGGCACAACTTCCAGAACCTTTGGTGACGCCTCCCCTCTAGACGCACGAAAACAGAACCCAAAACACAAACACGCATTCACACATTGGTCAGCCGGTTATCGCGGTCGATGAAAATAGTAGCGAGAAGCACTCACACCACCACATAGACAGTGACCTTCCCTCTGCTGCCGCACAGCAGACTGACACTGCAAGAGTACGCAAAATCGTACCCTTCTGCCCCCGTCCAAACGCTCAGTGCTTGCCTCAACACAAAGAACAGCGGCATATCCACTCTCAGGTGCCTTCAGCTGTGGACGGCTCCACCGTCCGCCTGATTATATTGCCACAAGAAATGGGACCATCGAAACCACCAAACTAGGTGGCATTCACATCCCCACCAGTGCAATCCAACCTCTCGGCCAACCCCTCTTACCCTACAATGGAGGCCCTCCTCTCGTCCCCCAGCACGTTCCGCAGCACCCACGATAGGGCGGGCCGCAAGCAGTTAGGGAAGCCCGCCAGCTGGCGCAGGGCCGCGTAGCTCGGCAGCATCCTCTCCCCCTGTATCGAGTCGACGAAGCGCTTCATGTTTCCCTCGGCGCCCATCTGACCGTAGTACAGCTTGGCAATCTGCAGTGAACGAAATGACAACGACGTGCGGGTTGCCCCGGTTCGAACGAATCACGTCGGGGTTTCGCTGGCCGGTTGAGGCTAGAAGGGATGAGGCGGTGCTTATTTGTTTCTGGCCTGAGTCGTTTGGCCATAGGGCACGAACCCTCTTCGGGCCATGCAAAGCCCCGACTGATACACTTGAGGCGTTTACACGCTTTCGCCAGGTACTGAGCAGAGTCGGAACGGTTTCCGCTGTGAACATAAACGTAAACACAAACAATAACAACATCATCAACAACATCAAAGACAACCACAACAACAACAACATCATCAACAACATCAAAGGCAACCACCACAACAACAGCAACACGACAACAATGGTTGTTGCAGGTGGAAACGAGGCTGTTTTCCTTCCAACCAACCCCACCTGCCATCCCGAAACGGGGGGCTCAAAGGGCACCACCTCGTGCCCGGCGGCGCGAAGCCCCTCCGCCGCTTCGTGAACGGCCCGCGAAATCGCCGCGCAAGGCTCGAACCAGTGGTCCGTCGTAAAGAAGCCGACCTGCCGGAACCGGCGGAGAGGAGGCGCAACGCGCGCACAAAAAAATTGTAATTTGTGCTGTGCTGCACCGCTGAATAGTAGACAACCAAGAAGAAGATGGGTGACGGCCCGTCTCGAAAAGGGGCCACTAACCTTATGTTTACCGGCGGCAAGGGCTCTAGCGGCCGAAAATCCATTGCGTGTGAGCCTTCCGTATGCATGCGTCAAATTCCTGCGTCCAACCGACGTCACCACGTCATCTATCGGCTGCTGCATAGAATGGTTACCTAAAGAGCTATATAAACGGAACAGTTCTCGCAAGTACATGAGGGAGAAGATATTTTAACGCGGTTCACCACATGGTAAACGGGGGCGACCGGAAACCCCGCGGTACACGACACGGGGCGTAAATCAGAACCAATCCGGAACGAGGGCGGAGGGGGGTTGCCAGGGCACGACAAGAGAGTGAAACACTTGCCGTGAGACAAAGAGACACCGCAGCACGGTTGCCAGGGCATGACAAGAGAGCGAAACACTTGCCGTGAGACAAAGAGACACCGCAGCACCATCTTTTACCTTCAACGGGCGACCCGGGCCGTCTATCGCTACGGTCCTATCCCACGGCAGTCGGGGGATACGCTTATCAGCGTCCCACATCTCCACGGAGCAGAGCGCCGTCATGGCCAGCTCCAGATCGTCGACGCAGTTGGCTATGGGTCCCGGTGTCGGGTGGATGATTCGTTGGCCACCCTTGTTGTCCTGCACGCACATCGCACGCCAGGCGGAAATTCGTTGTTCAACGTTCGGGGAGGGCCCGTGGTGTAGTTACAAATAAATGAGCGGAGATCAGAACTGCGTTTCCGGATTGACGGGGACGGTGAAATCAACACCACTAAGACCAGGAACGGCAAAAATCGTAACCTCTGGGCCGTGTAACTCTCATCGACAAAACAGAAATCAGCAATGCGAGAAAACGGCAATCCTCCAACCCATACACAACATGTGCATCCTCCTGCTCTGATTCTTGCTTCCCGTCGTCGGCTGGCTTCATGCCGCAATTTTGCCCCACGAGAAAAGATACCATGACAACAAGCACACACACACAAACCCGGTACTAAACACTGCTGCGCCCATATCATGACACGCACACACGAAATTGCCACTGGATTACCCCAGCGGAATCTCTTGGGGTTTAGGGCCCTTTCTAACTCGACGGTTTTCGCCAATCTCACCTGCAGGGCAGACAAACGCACAGTTCAGCCGCTTTCCGCGTGGGCAAAAAGACACGTTGGACATGACATCGACTTCTTTACGCTACCTCGGTCGCAAGCACAATGCTCCCGGCTGGTAAGTCAGCCCCATCAACAAGAGATAGGTACCAAAAAAGGATACTAAACCCAACACTTTCTACTACTGTCTGTGGGGGTAAGTTACGGCACCTCGCTCAAGCTCTCCATCCCTTTCTTGCTCATCCTGTCCGGCGTCGGCTTGAGGCCGCAGGTCCCCGTGAAGTGACACGGGATGCGGATCGACCCGCCGACATCGCTCCCTAGGGCCAAAGGTGTGCTTCGAGACGCCACGAGGCTTCCCTCCCCGCCGCTGCTTCCCCCGGGCGTGCGCCCCAAGTTCCAAGGGTTGTCAGATCGGCCGAAGATGGCGTTGTCGCTCTCCGGTAGCATCCTTTCAGGGGTTGGGCCGGGGGGGGGGAGTTGGTTGGGAGTTTTTACCATGCAGGGAAAGATGAGATTTGACGAGCACCAGAACAGACATCCCGTGGGCCGATTTCTTAGAGAATAATTCTTCTGCAGGACGGGAGGATGCCGGCGTGAAACATTGCGATGACGGCGACCTGTACCGAACGGCTTTCACGTAACTTGGCGTTTGGCTGTGCCTCTGTAATTGTAGAGTACTCGAGCCTCAAAAATGGTGTTGGGGGGGGGGGGGCATCTAGTTACATGCAAGCACCCGTGTTGCAGGCGGCATAAAACGTCGAATCTTGCATTTGCCCTCAAACGATGATGTTGCAGAGACCCCCCCCCCTGGTAGTGCTAACGGTTGGTTTCTTCCCCATTCTAGTCGGAAGTGACTCATTCCGTCAAGGCTCATATTTCCACGAATGTGGAGGTAGCCCGGGGGGTGTGACTGCCGGCACGACTTAATTAAATCTTCGCTGCAGCAACCGGCGGGGTGGTGCTGACCAAGCACTCCACCAAACCTTCAACGATCCTTTTGTTCGGTTGCGCCAAAAGTACCGAGCGAAGTCGTCCCCTCGTTCGATTGCGAACAGCCGCTCACGTCTCGTGCCAAGAGAGCTGAAAAAGGAGGCTTAGAAGCAACAACACCACACTTTTGCAGGGCACGCGTCCGTTCTACGCAATGACCAGACATGTCCGCTATCTGCTCCCCGAGACCACGACAAGCTTGAGGCTGCCTGCTGACATACAGCGGGTCGCGGTCTGTGGGAGAAGCGCATCGAACAGACACTTTATGCAGTGCGGGACAGTCACCACCCCCTCCAACAAATGGCCACGGAAATAGAGGCGGTTTCAGCAGTCCACGGCCCCCACGCGGAAAAAGCAGTTGGTAGGCAGCTTGATGCGGCTCTCGCTCACAGCTAAACGCAACACTGTATTTGAAACTCTCGACAGGTCTACCTGGAGCCCACCCACACTCTGCTAAGGGGCAAAACACCGGGCTCACATGCACTGCGGGACGTTGCCGCGGACGAAAGGAATGGCTCCGTGCGCGCGGAGAACCTTGACCAGCAGGCCGTCCTCCTTGCTCGGCCCCTTGGCGGCCTTGCACGCCATGCCGCAGGTCGTCAGCTGATGCAGGGCGAAGATGGGAGAGGAGGGGGGGGTAGATGTGAACAAAAGAAATGGCCCGAAGAACGCACTATGCTTCGGAAACGAGGCGGCGTCTTCGCGCTCTCGTGGTGTGTGGGCGCGAGCAGTTTGGACTGCTATGCTTGAGTGCGAAAATGAAAACCCATGTACACGGGGGTTCCGTGATGTCGCAAATGCTTATTAGCAAAATATATTACCGGGTTGGGCGCCTCCGTGCCTGATGTGATCCAGCCGACAGGAGACAACTTCTGGTTGTTGTTGGGGAAGAGACAAAAAAAATACGGCCTGCGACGTACTATAGAATCCTACAGAGAAGGGAATTTCCATATCCATCTCACGAAAGCAAGGTGTTGCTGTTGAAACAGTATTTGCGTCTTGTCGGTAGAAACGGTATTTTACCGAGCAAGTTAAAAGCTAAAACGTACGCTGAAGGCGTTTTTATCATCGGAATGTTTGGAGGAGAAATATACGTCCGGCTTCGACCCAAGTGAACGGCATGCGGTCGTGTCGGACATGAATCAACCCGCTCAGATTCGTCATCTTTCTACGTACTTCTAAACCCAAACAACCAAAAAGCACTACGTACTTGGGGGGGAGCTGCTTCTTCTGCCGCGCTAGCTTCAACGTACACGACAAATGCTTGAAGAATCCATCAACCCCCCGCGGGTTTTCCACCAAAGAAATACAAACCGGGGACGCACAGACCGTGCAACCTCAATCATGCACATGAAGAGCCGGGTCGTGCTTGCTTACCGCGCCCTTCATGTGCATGGCGTCCTTGATGCTCATCGGCATCCCCTGGAGCAGCCCGGCGGTAGCCGTAGGGCCGCCCCCTCCGCCGCCGCCGCCACTCGCATCCACCTTCCTGGCGGCTTGGACGGCCTCGTCGTAGAACTCTTCCGTAACGCCGTTCGTCTTGACCTTGCCGACCGCGCGGGCTCTACGGCAAAAGGCGGCCACGGCTCGTTCGCAAGACAGGGTGCCGTTCCGCATGGCTGCCATGAGCTCGGTGCCTCTTAGCCTGGCGATGCGCGTGTCTTCGGAGTGGCGCTCCTCCTGAGGGATGTTTCCGCGTTTGCATCCATGAACTTGTCAAACGTTTATGGAGCGAGCTAGAAAATACGTTTCGCTGCGGAACGCTTCGCATGAACAGATTCGTCTCGCGAGTATAGGCAGGGCTCTGTACAGGGTAGGTCAAGCCCCAGGGGTTAGAGGACCGGTCAGGCGCGATCAGACACACGCAAGGGGAGAGGACGGGGTGAGAGAAGCATTATCACCAGCAGTCATGGCGAAGGCTGCCACATAATCATCGAAGGGGGTATCGCGCGACATCTCATGCGCACGCGCGCGTGCGACGCCTTGACCGACTCCGAAAACCATCACCTATCCTACGTACTATGGAAAGACTTTTTTGCACGCGTTGTGTTACAACAAGAAGGCGCACACTACTAGAGACATCAAATAAACGTCGAAAGCCCCTCTCCACAATATTTACGTACACACCACCGTCGGTCAAAACCTCTCCTAGTCTGAGTCACCGCCTTCGCCGTGTCAGCTGTATGTCGAAGGGAGTATTCAAATCGCTTCCTGACACTAACTATTGTTCTCTGCTGAAACTCGCTGTCGCCGTCCACCCTTCTCTCTCCTTCTTTTCATTGAAGCTCCTCCCCAAATATTTCGTCACGGAGCATGCTTGCATGTGCGCGTACATGCGGACAATCCGCAGCGTCACACATGGCGCGCGCGCAATGAAGCAGCAGGAAAAATCACGGCGCTGCCAAGGCCCTCATGTGACGGGCGTTGGAGTTTCTGTGGTGCAGTACGATAACTACTCTATTTACTGCATGGGGTTGGTGCGGAATTGTGAAGACGTGTTTCACGGTTGTTTCATGAAGGCAGCTTGGGCTTCTGTGTGCGCGGAAAGAAAAGTCACCCTTTGTGTGTTGGTTTGTCTACCCCAGCCGCGCCAGTAATACCAGTTACAGCACGCAAGCGACTACTCACGTCCCTAGCTGTACAGCAGAGAATTGCCAAGGCTCATGGATCGCCGAGAAAGGGGGCCGGACGACCGAGGAAGAACAGGAAACCACATCAAATGACACAACGTACCTCGTGGGCGGAACGAAGAACCGCCGCGAGTCAAAATTAGAAGAGGGTCATAAAGTAAACCCACGGCTGGCTTGTAGACATAACCGATAAGCTAGCTACGTATGAAGGTTATTGTTGAAAATATGAACTGGCGGGTAGTTGACGGCCGAGCACGTCAATAATTCAGCGCGACGTAAGAGACCAAACGCTCAGCACAACCCTCAGACTACTGTTTGCATACTACGCTAATAATGCTGAGCCGTATGCATCCCCACCTATGCTCTTCCACGGTAGTCTTGCTGTAATCCAACCCAAATCTCGGGCTATCTCCTGACACGCCAACGTGCGCTCGACTACGTTCTTGATTTTTGTTCCCACCCTGGCGCCAACGCTGTGATCCGTGTTAACTCTCCGATCTTTACGGTACTAACTATCCGATTTCTACGGTACCTACCCTCCCGCGGTCCACATCGGCAGCTGGTGTGTACAACAGGTGTAGTCTAGAGGCTGAGACAACGGTTTTCTCCAGACTACCGAGCAGTACTGCTATTTTCAATTTCCACCTCTGTTCGAAGCAATCCATGTATCTTATCGACACACCAGGAACAGAAGGCCCAGAATGTCGACAGCAGTGGGTGCATAATCCTCCACACCCTGTGGGTACCTAGTCCTCACACCCAGGACAGGACGTGGAGCCTACAGCAGTAATATGCATATGTAGACGTGTAACATGTTTGCATCTCACCTGCGGGGTATCTGATCCATCTTGAAGCACACGGTGCATGACGTTGTCTCGCTCTTGGAGTACGCCTCGGCACACCGCGTCCCAATGCTTCTGGGAACGCTTTTCCTTGTTGTCCCCCCTGGCAAAGTACAAGACGAGCACCAGCACAACAGCTGCGCCCGCAATAGCCACGCCCTGAGCATCGCCGTTGGCCTCCATATCTGCCCCCTCTCCCTTGTCCGAGAGGTGCAAGAAGTGGATGCTGCAGCAGTAGGCGCACTACACGTACACGTGTGCAGCTGTTACAAATCCAGCTGGCTCAGACTCTTCGCGCAGAAGCCTATGCGAGGACAAATGCAAAGTCGCCCCGGTGAGAGTTCCACCCCTCTCTCTTGGTTAAACTTTCCTCAGACCTCGGACACTCCTCGCTTGCCCAGTGTGATGGGCCTCCCCTTTGACTTCGTCCCATTTTTTTTTTCACCTCAGTTGGCGGTGGAACAAATGCCGTTTCGGGAGAACTTGGGAGAACTGTTGAAAAATCTGAAATCCCAGCATCCACCATTCCTCCATCCATCGTTACGTCTACTCCCACATATCGGGCGCGCTTCCACTACAGGCAGACAGCAGACAGCAGTGCGGCCCATAGGCATGCAGAAACGACACGAAGTCCGGGTATCAAAGCTGCGATAGGGGTGATGGGGCGTGGATCTCTCTCATTGACAACACCGACAGCGGAGCACATTCAGGCACACGAGTTTACAGCTGTACAGCGTGTACAGTCTCGTGTGCAGCAATCTGCAGTAGACTTGTTGTGGGTGGACAGGGGAGGGCCGTCAGTGGGATACACGAGAGAAAATAGGTGGGTTTCTTGTACAAGTGCAAGCCCGCCCGCTTTTACACCCGCGTCGCCAGGGAGCGAGGCACAAGGGGATCCCGGTGGCAAGACCCAAGGGATCTCCGCAGCTGCGGCCGTCCATGAAACACCCACGCCTACCAATCTTTAAGGTATCGTTCTTCCAGACTTATGGGCCGCACCGCGTTTCGTCCTTCCTGCAAGCGCGCCCGTTGCCACGCGCGCGGCTGCCCAGGACGCACGGAGCGGTCCACGTCGCAGGCCGTCCAACATGCACCGCGCCAGTTAGCACGCCCGCGACTGCAAGGGACGAGGACGACGAAAAACTGCCCGCAGCAGCGCGCACTACGGGAATCTTGAAGTGGCGATCCTTCCGTGTGTCCCTGGGAGCATGCGCGACAACAGGGGCGCTTCGCGAAGGACGGCCCGGGGTGCGGCACCTAGGCACGTTTAGGAGAAACGGGCGGAACCTCGAACCCGCAACGTTGCTAATAGCCGTGGGCGTCTCGTGGACGGCCACAGAGGTGGATCCCACCCCCAGACACCACACCAGCGCATTCGGCCATAGAAGAAAATATTTGGTGTGGACCGCCCATCACTCCAATGCGGGAAGGAAGACAGGGAGAGATTCCCGCCGCAGGCTGCCGTTCGTGCAGGCCTTGAGGACGCGGAACGACCGCCGCGGTAGGCTGCCCTTCATACATATACCCACCTTTTCTCACATCCGCAGCTACCAGCAGCTGCCCTCGTCAAAAGCCGAGGCGCGCACTGCCAATTCTCCAACTTCGCACACCCTCTTCGATTCCCACTGGCCCGTTATCGCCGCCTGGCCTCGGATAATCAGTTCAGGTTCCGCAGCAGCAGGTACGACGATTTCCTTGCCCCCGTAACTTTGTCTCCGGTTACGGCCGTTGCTTCCGGTGAGCTCGGCGCGGCCGCCGTCCCTCCTTCCGGAGTAGGCCGCTGCGCCGGTCTCCGAGGCAACCGCGATAACCTTAGGCACAACCCCATCGACCGCAGCCACAATCCTGGAGTGAAGGTTTGACATTGGCCGGTGAAGACAACGGTCGGCTCGGGTTCATGATCGGGTTTGCCAGGCCAGGGGTGATTGTGCGCCTTCTGTTTGGGTGGGATAGAGAGGGTGTGCTGGGGCGCACAAGTTGAAGAATCTTGACGCCGAGCACCAGAGCGACGTAGACGAGTACATGGGCTGGGCGGGGCCAATCATGGCGATTGTACCTCAGGTGTGTGTTTTCTTGTTGTATTTGAACAGTTGCCTGTATCTGCTTCTTGGTCAGCTTTGTATCTTCGCGAGGTCGTTTTGTTTGGCAGGGGAACTGTGTTGACGTTCCGGCGTTTCCCATCATTTGTTCGCCGCGCCTTTGCTTTGGTATTTTCGATTGCCAAGGTTGGCCGCGATGTATGCGTGAAGCTCATAAATCGATCTTGAGTACGTGGCCCGTCATCGCCCCATCCACTCACTCTCTGGACATTGGTTCGAATCCAGGATAGTGATGATGCCAAGGGAGGTTCATGTAGTGAAACCGTTAGTTGTGATGTTCCGACCAACCCGCTGCAAAGAGTACACGTTCGCTTCAATTGTTTCCTCGAGTGCTTCCCTGTTCACTACAAGCACAATATTTTCAACTATTTGATGTCATCTTCCTGGGAGAGAGTGGATAGATGATGGCGGGCCGTGTAACCTTGTGAATATTGCGAGCTTCTCGTACATGTCACGGCTAATGTTGACAATGGGCAATGCGAAAATAATAGCGCGTCGAACAAGTATCGGAACTAGATGCTCGGACCGTCCACATAGTCCTCCTTCATCACGAACGGTCTTGTGCCCAAAGCCGTTGGCCAACAGGTACATACGAGTAACTGTACGTGATTCACAACAACAACAAAATGCACGCCTTCAGGACAATACTCCTGACTAGCCCCGCCCCTCCCGTGTACTCGTCCACACGGGTCTGGCGTTCGGCGTCAAGCATCTCCAGCCTGGGCACCGCTGCACACCCTCTCTGCCCCAGCCGGCGCCCAAAGGCAGACAATTCCTCCCGGCACTGGCAAGCTGATCCGTTGTCCCCACCGCACTAATTCAAACCTTCTTCGCTAGGTTTTCGGCCGCTGTCCCTGTGACATTTCCCCAGATTTTTACCGTGGCCTCGGAGGCTGACACAGAGGCCTCCTCCGGAGGGAGGGAGGGCGGGCGCGCAGGGCTCACCGGAAACACCGGCAGCAGCCGCAGATGAAGTGGTGGGGGCGATGATGTTGTCCTTCTGCTGCTGTGGAAGTGCGGTGATGGTTCTACAACTCCGTGGGGGCGACAGCCGCGTCGGCATCGGTGCGGCGTGCCTCGTTGGGGGCGAGGAACACCACCGTCGACTATCATAATCGATGGTGGCTCGAATTCCAGTGGGAGACCACGGCGGATGCTGGGGTCACCGCCGTCGTCACATCGGGCACACTTACATGAAGGGCCACCTTCGGCCGGAATGCTTCCTTTCTTCCCTTCCGGGCGACCTTGCGTGACAACGGGAGAGCTTTAACGGAGGTGTGTCATCGCTTGATACTCATCATCGACACCCGTGGTCGTCTGGCGTCGCCCAGAGGGATTGAGTAGACTTTCGGTTGTCTGGTCGGTTGCGTGGCACAACCAGTTTTTCGTGTGTTTTTTCGTTCAAGCGGGTAAACGTAGATGGTAGAATTGGTGTCTTTTAATTTGGGGTGTAACGGAACAGAAGAACCGGGCGTTCAACATAATCCTTGAACACGGGTGGGGTCCATGTTTTCCGAAAAGGGGCCGTCCCGCTCATGCAAACCTAGCTAGAGTGAAAGGTTTTAGGAAGAATGACGGAGAACCATCCCGACCCGTTTCCGACGGGTGCTAATTACTACTAATTAGGTCTGAATTGCTCGTATCCACGACGTTAAGTATGAACAATTTCCAACTTACATAGTGAGTGTGTAATTCAATGATCTTCGACGGGTTGTAGCGCGCCGTTTCAGGAAGCAGGCAGGGCTCTCCTAGAAGCCCAGAAGGACGCCGTGGGTTATGAGGCTCATTTTCTCGGCTACATACCTTTCGTGGCCACGGTGGGACTGTACGGCCTCAACGACTTTCGACCACCTTTCGTCCAAGTAATACAGTACACCTGAGCAGGGACCCCATCTACACTTTTTCCTCCCGACAGGGGGGCGTTTGGCAGCGTCTTGAAAATATGCCCATAAACTGGCCTGTCCCACGCTTCCACGCTGCCAGGAAAGAAGCTTTCGGGTATGGAATGAAAAACCTGATGCAAACAACGACGGAGATATGACTGGCAAAATCTACTCGGGGCGGTGGTGACTTGTCAAACGCGATGGAACGAAGACTGAACTCTGGTCCACTTTCAGGACACGGGGATTCATGCTCGCAAGTGTTTTCCGGTTGGCGCGGGCCAAAAGAACCGGATATAGGTGTGCTCGGAAGAATTTCTTCGGCCTCAGGAGTTCCCGGGGCTTCGGAATCTGTGATGATTGAGTATCTTGTTAGATTGTAACGAGGTGGGCAACCCGCACACAATGCTGTCGAGTGACATACAAGACTGATGTCCTGAAAGCGGCTAGCCGATTTGTGCGGCGGTCCATGGTACAGTGGTCGGGAAAGGGATTGGGTTGGCGAGAAGTGACGCCATGCAGGCGAGAGTGAGTCTTTAAGGCTGGAATCGGGAGGCAAGGGATCGGTGTGGTGAAGAGTCCGGCGGGGCATTAGATATGATGGCGGATGAAGGGTCGGGGGATGGGAGGCATGGCGCGCAGCGAGCATGAGTGGAACATGACTAAGGGAATACGGATTGGGCCCAGTCAGAATGTTTGCTGGACGAGAGATCGAATGGCCGAAGAAGGGTCGGGACAAGGGGTTGGTTCCGCGAGAAGCGTGGGTTGGGAAGAAAATTACTGAAGTAGGCAGGAATCCACCTGCACGCGAGATACCACGGTGGGCGAAGGGTCGGGTGAGGTAGCTGTTTCGTTCTTATCGAGGTGCGATGTCGAATGCAGCAACACAACTGGGTTGGAATGAAGAGTACGTGAGGTAGAGGGGGATCGTATTAGCCATGAGCTTGGTTGGTGGGGAGATGGTTCTATCGGAGGAAGGGGGAGCAAGGGCCGGTTTTGGGCGAACCTAAACGGTCGGTCCAGCCAAACCGGTGATGGCGTGAAATGCATTTTTCCTGGGGTCGGGAGTAAAGGGATCGGTGAAATCAAGGGCTCGAAAAAAGGAGAGACTATATTTGGGGGGGAGGGCGGGGAAACTCCTGGGGGGTTGCCAACACAGATGCTGCTGGTAGCCAAACCGAGGTGGGTTGAAAGTAGGCTTGCT